TGTGTTTTCCTGCTTCATCAACACGTCCATCAATACCATTCTAACCAGGTCTATAATATTCCATCAGTGAAAGCACGTAAGCCTGCCAAATGGATTCATCACGATGCGACAGCAACCAGAAATTAGACGCGAATACGGACACAAAACCACACACAAATACCCAGACACAGGGGCAGGAGGGAAGCTGCACGGTCGACGGAGAATAACTCTGATCATTGCGTGACATATCGCATGCAAGATAATGTACGAAATGGACATGTGAGCTGACAGCGCTGTTGACTAATTGCACCAGAAAGTGAAAATACTGTTGTAAATCGTGAGTAGTAGGTCAGACAAATTATCAGTCCGTGAGTTAGACCACCGATAATCCACACTACTAAACACTATCGTATTCACCAATGTAATGCCGAAGCATCAGCTACACCGTTCAAAAACCAGCCCCGTTGCTTGTCCAAGAGACTGAAAGATCCAGGAAAATGAGTCTGCATATGAACATCCTCAAGCAATACATCTGCGAAAAGAGGCTACTTTCCTAGTGAGTTCTCAAAAGAGCTCTCGCTCAAGCAAAACTAACCCCGCTGAAGAAGAGCCTATCCCCCAAGGAGAGATCAAATGTCCCCCTACTCTTCTCTTGAGGGACTGCGGAAGTCACAGACTGGTTAGTGATAATTGCCTTCCTCACATTTGGCACGACACAAGCGAAAACATGAATACACGCAGTGACAGTGTACGTTTAGACCGAAGCCTAACAGAGCTACAGAGATGTAACGGACTACAGTGGATAAAGCAAGTAAAAATAGTGCATGCAAATGAGAGAACGACCAACTGAAGGTATGAATGATGATGAGTTGATTCCACGGAACTAGTTGGAAGCGAATGCACCAATTAATTTATCTAACTCGAAGGAGGGATGCACTGATAGACTCAGTTCGCCGCGTTGGGAACTAATAAGATGAAGAACATCCTTTACAAAGTCAACTCACATAAGTTGTGGGCAAACTACGATGTACACTTATGCCATTTTGACCACATCACGGAAGTTTTCATTCTTCATTTCTCCGCCTTTCTGGAACTCGGTGCAGAAAGGCTTCTTTGAGCAACCACTCATCGAAGGAAACAAAACGAGTCAACTTTCTAAAACAATGTGACTGTACAGAATATTGCGAAACCTCTCCGTTGCAACCACCCTCGGTAAGTCACCGAATTTCCCGCCATGAACTTGGGAAAATGAGTTTTTCAACTCCAGCAGATAGGGGAAAACTGGTCCAATTACCAACTAAATTATTAGTTGTCTGAATTAAGGGAGTGTCTATTCTTCTTTAATTGGAAGATAGTTAAATTCATGGACAATCGCCATTTGTTAATTCCTTATTGGGATTAACTCTTCTTAAGCTACCATTCTCAATTAATAAGACTATTTTCGAGAAATCCAGAAAGCAAATGCGTAACCGCTAATAATGGAGGATAAAACTTTGTTACCCGCATCCTGTTTATCAAGCAGTGAAAGCAACTACGCACTGCATTTCTGATTGAAAGTATGATCTTGGTCAGTTTAGGATGATTCGCACCTGAACACCGGCGTTAGAGTGTCAAAAAAGTTGTTCACAGTTGTGACCCTTGCAAAGCACATGGTGGAAGAGCTACTCAGTAGAATATTTTATTCAAATATGCAGTTCGGACCAAACGCTGCACTGCAACCACGCTTGGGATAGGTGTGTGAGAATCACTCACTTTGCACGATATTACCAGTTAATCATCGAATTCTGACTGGGTTGTCTAAAAATAGACCGAGCACCCCTGTAAACAGGTGCGGTGCGAGTATGCGTGTGAGAGCTGCTAAAATCTATGTCGCACGGTCAAGCGACTGCAAGCCACAAAACAGTTTAGGTGCGAGCCGCTAATGTGCGTAGCTACGCAGAGGGTCAACAATGTCGAGTTTCTTCATGTAGCTAGAAAGAAAGCATTACACCGAGAAAGAGACGTTGATTGAGCTGCGTTAAAACTAGTTCACGACAACTGCACTCGATCAGTGCGGGCAGGTTTCTTACATGACAAAATCTGATTATTAGAAATGTACGGAACCTGCAGTCGCAAGTGAGGTAAATTTTCTAACCGGTGTTTTGAAGCCAACTATCGGATTATTCTTTGAGGATGAGTTGTCCAAGGAAGGGAACACAGAAGATATTGGATAAAAAAAACCTGCTGTTGTCGCCAATTCGTTATAACGAGCGCTTTAAGGAAGCATGTTCGAAATCCATCTAAAGCACGGTGGTTTGATTAAATCAGATTGGTCAGATCTCGAGTGCGCTAAAATGGATAGTGATCATGAGGCCTACAACACGACTGGACCGAGGGCTATAGAATGAGACACCTGGCAGGTAATGTAGCAAAATGCTTTTTTTATTTTGAGCTTCCGCCTACAATTTGATGAGTTGTCCAAGGAAGGGAACACAGAAGATATTGGATAAAAAAAACCTGCTGTTGTCGCCAATTCGTTATAACGAGCGCTTTAAGGAAGCATGTTCGAAATCCATCTAAAGCACGGTGGTTTGATTAAATCAGATTGGTCAGATCTCGAGTGCGCTAAAATGGATAGTGATCATGAGGCCTACAACACGACTGGACCGAGGGCTATAGAATGAGACACCTGGCAGGTAATGTAGCAAAATGCTTTTTTTATTTTGAGCTTCCGTCCTACAATTTGAAACCACGTGTTCTCTCTAAACGCCAGAGAAACAATATTTCATTTCACCTAGTGTAAGTTTGCTTTGGAAAAAGGGGCCTAACACCCAAAGGCAGAATACACCTCCAACTAACTAATTGAGGGATCGAAATCACTTTGAGCTTGCTGTATCTGGTATGGTTATGACGAACATCGATATGGATTTGGTCATAACAGAATCGTTTACATTCACTATTAACTGGCTCATTAGTGGTGCAACAATTAGGCAACGGGCTTTCTCCTCGCTGTGATGACCTTTTACATTATCGTTCATTACTGTGGCACCCTTATGTTGTATTTTACAAAACATGCCCAACTCTCTTTTGGGTACATCCACCTGTCACAAATCTACTGAACTGAGTAAATGGCTTGCGGGGTAGATAAGGGGGCCAATTCATTGCCGAACCAATGATTTGCGAGATAGTTATTCGTGAGCCAACCCATCTCCCAAAAATCCCATTGCCAAAACACTCTTCGTGGAACAAGAAGGAAGATATCCAAAAACTTGTGATCAGATGAGTCATTTGTTATATTACTGTGGAATAGCCCATGGTCTGTACTCACTCTACTGACAAAAGCTGGATGCTCAGTGCAGCAGGAAAGTGAGCTATCTTAGACAGACAGGGCAAATAACTGGAAGTATTATCCATGATTCGTGCGACAGGTACAAACAACAGTAGCCAAGGCAGGGGTCGTTTCCGATGCCATGCCGTGACTCTGGATCATCGGATCGGTTACCACATCCTGCTGAGCTTCTCTCTAAGGCGCCCCGCCTCGGTTTCCACGTGCGGCCAACACCTCACAAGACGTATCCGGGCAGCAACAAGTGCGATAGCTAATGCAAGAACTGCATGGTCAGGGCCAACCGGGTTGCGAAGGTGTGAACTGTACATTCCGACGAAAACCTATCATGGCGGACGATAAACGATGATTTCAACAAGATGAATTCACGCAGTGACACCTGCGAGTTCGGTGCTCCCAAACGGCAAGAAAAATGAGAAGACATTTCTAGTGTCGCAATATGGTCTGATCAACCCGAACAGTTTAATCAGAGACCTGGTGGTAAGCACAAGCCATGCGATTTGATTAATTCAATGATTATTTCTGCGGGTCCACTTCGTACTTAGTAAATCATGTGGCATAACTGGCCCAAAAGATTCAAGTGAATCCGTTGTGCTACACCCACCCTGAAAACGGAGCGGGAAAAAAAACAAAATGCTCAAAAACAAAAAGGAGACTGGAAATGGGTAGTCATTGTACCAGAATGTATGCCGGTGGAAACACGGATCACTTCACAAGTGAAAAACTTATGAGTAATGCAGCCCAACGGGACTTCGCCACTGTGTCAAGAGAGCTAAGTCCACCGAACCGAGTGCAGGCCTGTTGAAGAATAGACGACTTACAAAAATCGAGGACGGAGAAGCAAAACGTGATGAATAAGATTTCAGGAATGGCTACTCAGTGATGCGGATCAAACGAGGGAGAACCAGTGGAAGTCAGATTGCTTAAGTAGCAGAGTTGCCCTTGCCAAAAGGCAAAATAATGTGAACAACCTAGTGCTCACCTCTCTCCAATATGAAGCCAAACGCTGTCGTAAAATTAAAACAAAACAAACAAGTGTACAACAAAGGCGATAATGCTGTGATGAGCAGTGACAGGTAACGAGAAGAATTTGAGGCAGAATAAACGTAGGTGGTAGATTAGCGGCTAACAGCTCACACTGCTATCAGAACATTATTCCCAAGGAGAGAATGTTTAGAAGTTAAAAATGTTCATTTACTTTTCTCTTTCTCTCTATGAACAGTCGACTAATATAGGATAGCACACTGACGGCTAGCCAGCTGGTGGCAGAGATGAAGGACAGATGTGAGGGCTAGTGAGAGGTGCTAGGTAAGGAGAGGGCTGAATGGATATGGTTACCTTTGCCTTGAAAACGAAATATGTTTGAGATCCTTCTCAGCTCTTTAACCTGACTGATGATCCAGGTTAGACGTTAGTATGAGAAGACTAAACTGACGAAAAAAAATACGGCTGAGATAAGGTTACATCCAAAGGGCTTCTACCATCGAAACTGAAAAGAATAGTGGTCCCAAATTCACCCGTTGGGCAGACGTACCCGAACTAAGAGTGCGAGATGATGTTGATGTGTCGAGAGAAACGCCTATTGGCTTTTCCGCAAAATCATCCTTTAACACAAAATGCTTCCGAAAGTACATTGGCTCACAGAACAAGCATAGCGCAATGGTTCGGGAGCAATACTGGAAAAAGGTGAACAGTACTAACATTCCACGGGAAAATACGGAGAAAAAATGCAACAACGGCAACTTACCAAATCAGCTAGCCGACTGAGATGTTCACTTAATGAACGTAGGCTGCGTCGGAGATGACAGAACAATGGCTTTGCATGACGTTTATGGGAAGTTCTGTTTCTGTTCGGCGGACAACCAGAGTCATTCGCGCAGCACGTAGCGTAAACGTTATGTACCACCATTGTCCAAGCTCTGATCAGCTGCAGTAGTTGGGATATGGGCTCTGGTGTGGAGGGTTGCTGAAGTTTCGGTGGATACATATTAGGGTCACAGGGTGTGGTGTAGTGGGATAGAAGGGGGAGAAATACGTGACTGACTGTATCGTTGAGCATTTGGGCAGATGCTCTGGACTGAAAAAGATGGGATACGGCTGTAGAGACCTTTGAATGTCCAGCAGTAAGGTGGGACAGACAACGGAAACCCGCTTCCAAAAGATCTAAGGTAGCATTCAATTTGGAATGTGGAATATCCGGAGTGAGTGAGGGGCATGAGGGGCCATAAGTGGTGGTTCGAAGAGCACTGGAAATAGGGATGGAGCATGGGGGAGAGGTGATAATCATCAGTTGGTTGGGATTGACCACTGAGTAGGATGGATCATGGATTTCTTTCGCTTGGTGATAGGAAAATAAGGAGTCCGGTTTGTGTCCAGGTGATGGACACAGACTTTGGTCGTTGAGGGGAAGTTCTCTTTGTTCAGCCGATGTAGACTGCATAAAAGCAGTCCGAAGTCGAAGAGGTGGGGACACGGATACAGCATCAAGAGACAAACTTGATAGGGAGTCACATAGGTGCGCATTTTCGGCCGGGATGGATGGATCTTTCGTTGTGTGTTTTGGTCGTGGATCAAATGAGGATAGAGATGATTGTAGGACACGGGATATCAGATCGACACCGTTGAGCTGTTTGGAGGAAATTGGGAGGGCAAGAATGGTGAATGGAGGAAGGGGAATAAAGCAAAGCATGCAAATGGTCTATTTGACTTTTCGCGGCGTTTCTCAGGGTCAGTGTGTGCAATTTACACTGATCACTGCTAGCTATTTCTAGATGCATAGCTGAAAGAAAATGAGCCACCCTGTGCTTTAAAAACACTGAAAAGATTAAACGGAGAGCCGGTGGCCAACAGTTGATGAACTGTACACAACCTGATAGACATAAAACGCCGTCACGTTCATGGTTGACCCTTTCGGTGTCTATGTACCGTGTCATGCAGTAGTTGGGATATGGGCTCTGGTGTGGAGGGTTGCTGAAGTTTCGGTGGATACATATTAGGGTCACAGGGTGTGGTGTAGTGGGATAGAAGGGGGAGAAATACGTGACTGACTGTATCGTTGAGCATTTGGGCAGATGCTCTGGACTGAAAAAGATGGGATACGGCTGTAGAGACCTTTGAATGTCCAGCAGTAAGGTGGGACAGACAACGGAAACCCGCTTCCAAAAGATCTAAGGTAGCATTCAATTTGGAATGTGGAATATCCGGAGTGAGTGAGGGGCATGAGGGGCCATAAGTGGTGGTTCGAAGAGCACTGGAAATAGGGATGGAGCATGGGGGAGAGGTGATAATCATCAGTTGGTTGGGATTGACCACTGAGTAGGATGGATCATGGATTTCTTTCGCTTGGTGATAGGAAAATAAGGAGTCCGGTTTGTGTCCAGGTGATGGACACAGACTTTGGTCGTTGAGGGGAAGTTCTCTTTGTTCAGCCGATGTAGACTGCATAAAAGCAGTCCGAAGTCGAAGAGGTGGGGACACGGATACAGCATCAAGAGACAAACTTGATAGGGAGTCACATAGGTGCGCATTTTCGGCCGGGATGGATGGATCTTTCGTTGTGTGTTTTGGTCGTGGATCAAATGAGGATAGAGATGATTGTAGGACACGGGATATCAGATCGACACCGTTGAGCTGTTTGGAGGAAATTGGGAGGGCAAGAATGGTGAATGGAGGAAGGGGAATAAAGCAAAGCATGCAAATGGTCTATTTGACTTTTCGCGGCGTTTCTCAGGGTCAGTGTGTGCAATTTACACTGATCACTGCTAGCTATTTCTAGATGCATAGCTGAAAGAAAATGAGCCACCCTGTGCTTTAAAAACACTGAAAAGATTAAACGGAGAGCCGGTGGCCAACAGTTGATGAACTGTACACAACCTGATAGACATAAAACGCCGTCACGTTCATGGTTGACCCTTTCGGTGTCTATGTACCGTGTCAACTGAAGGGAGCACGAGGACTGATATACTGCCAGGTTGCTCATAATTAGACAGGAGTAACCGAGATGCCGGGGTTGATTTTGGACCACGGGCCTTCAGACAGTGAGTTGCGCCCTAAACACCGATTCATGTCGAACAAACAGAAGGCTTTGGCTCTTGTTGCCGTTGCGGATCTCTGCAATTCATACAAGCAAACGTAGGTTTCAACTGCAATCCAATATTTGACCCTGATGACTTTAACAAATACTCATGAAACTTGGAGAAGCAGCTGAACCACCAGATAAAAAATACAAATACACGCTTGATCCGATATTTGTCGAAACCAATCCGGAGCAAAAGATTACGGCTGGCAAAACTTGTACTCGCAAAAGAAATGCTCACTCCGACCTGACATATTCAAGCGCTTACAAACAGCCCAATTTCCCACATTCGTCTTGGGCCATAAAATGTTGCTCTGCACTCCAAACCTGTTTAGACTATTTCCGGGCCGGGCTGTGGAAACTGTCACAACAAATCTCAGAAAGGGTAATAAAATCCTATTCCCTTGGGATATCGGTCCGACTGCACTGGGTCGCTTGAATAATACACGCGAACCGCTGAGTTCGTTGGAACCTGTGAAAGCACATTTGGTTTTTCCAGTGTTTCTTCACTCCCATACCACAATCACGTTCTTAGCTAAACACCCTTCTGTGGATACGTGCACAACACCGTCTTATTCCCATACTGCGAGTACAGATTGGAACAAACGGAAAGCGGGCACACAACGTCTGAGTGTAAACCGCCACTAACAGGCCATAAACCGTGTTATTAGTTCGCAGATGCCGCATATCAGTGGAGGAGAACTGGTTTGGCACGACCACCTCCACCACTGGTATACGTGAACGGAAAATAACGGCTTTTGAAAACTGCATAGTTTCTGCCAAACTAGACGGCGATAAATTTTCCTCGAAAAAAACGGAAAGCGGGCACACAACGTCTGAGTGTAAACCGCCACTAACAGGCCATAAACCGTGTTATTAGTTCGCAGATGCCGCATATCAGTGGAGGAGAACTGGTTTGGCACGACCACCTCCACCACTGGTATACGTGAACGGAAAATAACGGCTTTTGAAAACTGCATAGTTTCTGCCAAACTAGACGGCGATAAATTTTCCATCGAAAAAAAAACCGAACAGATAGAAAATCAGGCGAGGTGAGGAAATTATTTGTGAGTTAATAGACACCATTCACGAAGATTAACCGATGTCCGGCTATTTCAGAAAGGAATGACGAACTCGCTTGGCGGGTTGAACAACAGTTGCAGCGTAATACCAAATCAACCGGTTAGTGGCTCTTCCTCTCTCAGCCATCTCGGTGGGAAGATAATGGAAACCTCAACAGCGAAAAATATTACTATTGCTGCTCTGAATTTTCAGGCTACAAATTCCATCTGAAAACAAATGATGTGCAACGAAATTTCGTTCCATATCCATCCAACGATACAAGTGGACGTTCTACTTCAGGCGAGACAGTGTTCAACTGTCCACATCATGATCCTGGAAAGTGGCAAGGCCATGTGGAAAAGCCATGTAATAGGTAACCGAAAAAGGCGATGATAATGCACTTACTTAGCCGAAAAAGTCACACAGCCAGAACTCAATGTTCACTCGTCCTTTATTCGAGCATGAAGATGCTTCAGTCAGATAGTCTATCGCTGGGGGTCCTAGTAACGTCCTTTTGGTAAACACTTGCATGAAAAATTGTCTTTCTTAGGTTGTCGGGCCCTCTGTTTGCATGCATGTAAACGACTGCCAAGGCATGCCATCTTTTCATTGATCGAAACCCAAACTGGCTCAGCCCGTAATGTAGTAAGAAGGCTCTCCATTGATTCCAGACGAAAATGTAGCTTGCAAGTGATGGCGTTTTGTTGCACATCTCCGGCATACTGGAGTAGTGTTCAGGACTACATGGCAAATTCCTGATCAAGCCTACGGGATGGAAGGTAGGGTCTGGTAGTGTTGCTAATTTGCCGACGTTATTCGGCGTGAGGGTGCGCCAGCTTCTTGAGTGCTTCTGAACTACGTAAACCATGAAATCATTCTACACCGAATGACCAGGAGGAAGGTTTATCAGCTTGCTAGTTCTCGAGAGTGCTTTACACAAATTGGTGTTCGCATGTCAAGAGAATGGACACTATGAAGCTTGAAACAAGATAAGTCACAGTTAACCACCTCTATACATAAGTGGACAGGGTCAAAATCAGTTCTCAGCGCAACCTGATGGCCTTGTGATCAGGGTACACCGAAATTGTGATTCAGTTGGATGTAGTGACAATTCCATTTGATACCGCTGACCACCTATGCAGTCTGTACACAGAGGCACAATAAATTGGAAGGCATGTTTCTACGACCAGCCCTCGTGCTTCCTTCGGGTGGCATGGCAGCTAGGCACCGGAAGGGTGCTACAGCTGAACGCTTTCTTTCATGTTTCTACGACGTGGCACTCAAATAGGCTACGTCTACCCATCTGTCATGTGATGCATCCGGCCGTTCAACGTGCAGAGAAATTTGGAGCTGGAAGACGAGGCGGATAGTCGCCGTGATGGAAGTCCGGCCCGCGAGCACACGCAGAAACACGCACATGATCAAAGTGCAATGTTTCGCGCTTGTACACGGACAGCAAATCACTTGGTGGACAGTAAGGTCAATTGACGTTTCATCATTGCGGGCAGCGGCTACTCAACGGAAAGGATGGAACTTGTCTGCAACATACCACAGGATGGTCAAGTGTCCGACAGCCCATCACACGCACCCACACACCCCAATGACAATTGGTTGGTGGAAATACACATGGATCAGCACAAAATTAAAGATCAAAACCAGACAGATATTGTCAGCATCAGCTACATGGGCGAAACGACGTGAATACACTTCGATTGTACAAAATTTGAGTGAATCATGGTCAGCATACTTGGTGCTATAACAGGTATGCGTCTAACACACTGTAGTTCAGCAGCTCACCAACAATTAACGAGTACAGCTAACCTGAACCTCAAAACGGCTAGGGTGAAGGTCTTTCATCTTTTCCGCTGGCTATGCCGCCGTAAAAATGAACCCATTGGCGTCATGACGGGTTTTCAGAACATCAAGGTGCCGACCATCATCAAATGCAATTTAGGAAAGATTGGGCCAGGCGTAGCATCAAATATCCGTTCATTCCTGTGGGCACGGAAGCACAAACATACAGGCACGCATGCACGTTCGAACAGCGTCCCCCATCAAACCGGTGGAACAAAACTTACAACCACGTAGGAGAGCAAGAAAATAGCTGTGAAAGCGGTGCGTTTGGTGTGAGCAGAGTGAAAAAACACTCGCAAATGTAAAGCTGAGATGGTGGCTAATTTGGCGGAAGAAATGAGCCGCCAGGGAGGGAAACTACAAAGTAAAAGTAGCGGCGGTGAACCACAACAGGCAGGCAGACGACCAGTCGGAAATATTAATCAAAGTATTATTTTGGTTGCAACAGGGAGGCAGCAAGTTTCGTGACCACACTGGTCTATAGTCGAGCCGGTGGAGGTGAAAAAATTCCGACTTGGAAATTTCGTCGTAGAGTGGATGACCCACAAATTAACGGAACAATATTATCTCACAATGAAACCGCTTCGTAAATTATCCTAAAAAGGCAGGAAAGCCTGTAGTTGACAAGTTTAGTCGGTTATGGACTGTGTGGCAAATTCGATGACTGTTCATAGTGAATGTGCTGTTAGGTTACAGAGTAAAGGAACTTGTCAAGGATTGTGAGCTGAGCATTTTTCGAACCTGCTTCCTTACGTGATATGTTCCAGTAAGCAAATCAGTAGTGAATATGTGCCCAAAAACTGTCAGGAAAGTGAAGAAATTTGTTCAGAAGGTTCTTCATAAAGAACCACGACGTGTCCGTGAACAGCACTCTAGACTCAAACGTCCACAAGCTATCGGTGACAAATTATCATACAAAGCTGAACTTTCTACATTTAATTAGTACGCGATCGATTGCTCAATATCCACAGACGACCCACTATCGGTTTTACTCTGCTTGAAGATCACCATCAAGTAGATATAGTCCCCGGAATTTGAGTGACTGCATCGAGTATCCAACTCCAGCAATTTCATGATGCATATGACCGTTAAAGTAAAGCTACAGTTTGTTTCTGAAGTAGAGAATATTCTTGCTTGTAAAGTTCCGGTTTATTTAGTTTGCGATGTCCAAAGTGGAGTCTTTTTTAAAGGGGAAGAAGATAAGCTAACCAGCTCCTCGAAATCTATTCTAGTCAAGGAGAATACATCAGCTCTATTTAGATGTTCTGTAACTGTCCATTTGTTCAAATTTTGGCGTTGGTACTTGTGACTACCCTGTCCAGAGACAGACAGAGTTGTGGAACTAAAGTTGCTTGCAACATACTCCACAACCGGATAAGGCTTTATAGCTTCACTATGCGGAGAATCTTCTTGTACATCAAATGGAGATGATAAACATCAATGCCATGTGAACTTGTGAACTCAAGACAGCGCTCGTTCACCCACCTTTCCTAATTGGTGGCAAACTTTTAAATATCGACCAACTAAATCCTACGCAAACTACTTATCCCTAGAAGAGATCACCAAGTTGAGTCGTCGTTGGTGAGAAACTGTTGGCTCTTTTATTTTACGTGGAAACCAGGAGCCACAAAACTCAAGG